AAGAAGCATTCTAAATAAGCACACCTTAACTCAACTATATCATTCATTTATCCATTGCCACCTAAACTATGCAAATGTTGCGTGAGGTAGTAAAAATAAAAGTAAACTTAAATCTCTATATTGTCAACAGAAACATGTTGCACGCCTTATTAAATTTAGAGATTGTTCTACTCATGCCAAACCTCATCTAATTGGTATGAATATTTTAGTACATACGAGCTGAATATTTTCAATGATCTTTGTGTTATGTATAAATATAAAAACAGTTTACCTCCTGAACCCTTTCAAAATTTATTTACCTTAAAAGAAAAAAACAAATATTTCTTAAAAAATGGTAAAGCTGTTCGATAACATACTTACCATACAAATTTTGGAAAGTTTTGCATTTCGTTTTGTGGAGGTTTTCAGTGGAATAAAATAACTTCAAAAAATTTTGATATTTTTAAGAAATGTAGATATCCCTCCTTTAAACAAAAACTAAAAAATATTATACTTTCAATTGATAAAATATCTATGTTTTTTAAAATTTTGATTTTAAGTTTTCTTATTTTGTTTTTTCCAGTAAAATACTTTATTTTTAAAGTTATAATATATTATAAACATTCTGTGTTCTTATGTACTAATTCTGTAAACTTTTTTTTAAATAATGTTATATATAATCTAATGAAATATACTTTATGTATATTTCATTAGATTATATATAACATTATTAATGTGTGTGTGTGTGTGCATGCATATGTGTATATGTTTGCGTGTATATGTATTTATGTATGCATATATGTATGTGTTTTATTTGTGTATGTCTATGTGTTTACTTGTGTTCATACAAATGTTCTATATGCACATATGATGCTATGAATGTACATACACGTAAGTGACTAGTATGACCTCCACAACTAACCTACTTGCCTAAAAACGGCTGAATTTGTTCAAAGTTGCTACACAAGAGTCAAAGAAGAACTTTTAAAAATTATTAGGTGGAAATTATTCAGCATATGAAAATAAGAATCTTTTTAATTAAAAATTTGACAAGATAATCATGATAAACAACATTCGACAAAAACAATCATGATATACTTAAAAAAAAATTAAAAAAAATAGACTTAATCTATTCGATAATGTGTTTTACAATGGTTGAAGAAAATATCATTTTTGAAGAAAAAAAAAAAATTCAGTTGTTTAGTGATAGCAAAGGTAATTATGATTCAATGTCAAACTTTATTGCATCGACCAATCGGAATATTTTATTTCTGCATAAAACTGCGCATCAAATGTTTAATTTATTAATTTCTAACAATTGTACTGTATGCGAACATTTTATATGTTAATAAAACGAAGAAAAAGTATGATCCTTTGGTTATTCCACATATTAAAAACGTAATCCGAGCAAAAAAAATACGCTTGATCAACTGCTCAACTAAATGGAAGAATAATAATCTTAAAATAAACTGTTATCTTCTTAATCGTTCCGTAAAATACACTGTTATCTTCTTAATCGTTCCGTAAAATAAACTGTTATCTTCTTAATCGTTCCGTAAAAGCTGAAATATTAAAAGCAAAAAGACCACATAAAAAAGAAATAATATTAACATACCTCTGAATAATTTCCATCGTTAAAAAAGTGATACTAACCTGAATGAAATTATATCGACAACTTGGCTTTTTCTATTTCAGACATTATTAACTTACCAAACTAAACCCCTATAAATATTTTTTCCATTTACAAAAATCTTTCATAAATCGGTCTATAAAAAAACGGAAGATAAATTACTTGCTGGAAACTATCGACCTATTTCACTAAACTCTGTTGCCTGCAAAATAGTCTGCAAAATAGTCAAAGTACTTGTAAAGAAGTATAAAAATATACAACTATTTGTTATAGAACAAAATCTTTAGGCACATTAACGATAATGAAATGCCCTCTGAAAATCATCATGGCTTTCTTCACCATAAATGTGTGAACAATCTAATAGACACTTTTGATATTATTTCATCTTCTATAACATTTCACCAGTTTCTCTACCTAAAAACAGACTTAAGTTAAAATTAAGATATTTCGGAATGAATTGGAAGCAAAATAAAAAGGTATAATAAATCAATTCCTAAAAAGCTCTATTAAAAGGAGTCATTATTTAACTTAATTAGGAGTCATTATTTTATTCAACGTCAAGTGGAGTACACTTTTATGAAGAGCAGTCTCAAAACCTTTATAAACTCTTGGTATGCAAAAAGACATTCAATTTCATTGATGAAAATATGGCTTTCAAGTTATATGAAGTGTTTATTGGACCACACCATAAATATACCGTGTCTATTTGGGCTTCTTATTTAAAAACTGACAAAACCTTGCTTAAATCTATTCAACGCAAAGCAACAAAATAGGTTTCCAGCATGAGACATCTTTAATACAGAGAAAGACTTAGAAGATTGAATCTACAATAATTGACTATTGTTTCAATTGAAGCAGCGATAAGCTTAGGGTTAAGAGAAATTTTCAGCACCTTTTTCCCGCATTTTACACATTGAAAACTTCCGCTATTTACTTATGTCCTGAATGACAATTTTTTGATAAAAATTGGTCTTTTAAAAATATAATAGCAGCGCTTATGTATATTTGACATTACCCATTAGCGGAGCAACTGCAAAAAGATCCTTAAGCACATTAAAACACATTTAAGGACAACAATGGCGCAAATAATTTTGTCTGCAATAGACCTAAAAACTGAAATAGCAGCTCAATTAAATTTAAAAGGTGTTGAAGAACGATTTGCAGCTATAAAGACAAGAAAAAAAAAACATTCATTAGATTTTCTACTTACTAGACTTGCATAGTGTAACATACTGGTTTCTATTTAATTAAATTAAAATTTTATTTAAAAACAAAGCTTTTGTTTTCATGTATAATTTTTGTCAAGAAAAGGAAAAGTAGGGGTAGCAGAAAAGTAATTTAGGTACCCGGATTAAAATTTTGTATTTTAAGTTTTTTATAACTGATTTAAATATTATGTTTTTATTACAACTTATTTGAAATGATTATTATTTTAGTTTTTAATACAAAAAAAAAAAAGTACACAGAAATCTGGTACATATCATTGGTACATGTACCAATGAATGGCATCACCGGGAGGTGGTGCCGACCCCAATCCAATGATAACCATGCATGAGCTATACATAAAAATTTTGCTGTAGAGCCCTTCAAATTTGCAATGTGTGGAGTAGGGATCAAAAAATCGACCATTTGCGGTGATCGGACATGATATGAAAACTGAAAACCACTAACCGACAATCACTGACAATCACCGCACACCTCTAACCGCTGTCATCGCCAATGCATCACCGCGCACCGCAACCACCTACCGCTGTGGTCAGCTGATAACCGACCATCATCGCAGAAGTCCGATCACCGCAAATGGTCATTTTTTCGTTTCCTAGTGTGGATCCCCTCATATTTGCAATGTCAAAAATGCTATGCTTTTTAAACGTGTTAAAAAATGTTTTTCTATACCAGTCAAAGTTAAAAAAAAAAAACTTTTCTATGAATTAATATTTAAATGCTACTAAAAGTCTTTTATTATTTTTTTATGTTGTGTTTTATATTATATTTAATATTTATTAGTATTACATTTTGTATTATATTTAACTATTAGTATCTAATACAACTAAATTACCATCTGCATTTAAAACCTTTAAATTAATGATAATTAAACTAAAATGCTACAGATGCTAGTAACTGTTTTGTAGGGGAGGCTGATTCTACTAGGGATGCCATGTACCTAAGGACACTCAAATATTTTGAGAATTTTGTATAAGAGCATAATATTTTTTGCATGCGGCAACGCTCTACTTCTTGAGGTCAGTTGACAGCGTGTTGGTGTGAAGCGTTGCAAAGTGGTGATAAAAAAATTGATTTTACAACCCTTTTACGTAGGTTTTTTTAATTTCACCCTTATAATGTATTTAACAAAATATTTCTTAGTTTATACAAATACATTATTTTGTTTGCTTGAATACTGCTTTAATAATATCTCTCAAATCCTAACTTCAAATTTTTAGTCGGCGTTTTTTGTCAACTTGGCTCCTTGTTGAACGTAGGGACATGTACCTAGAAACATGTCCCTAGGTACATGTTTTCCTTTTTTTGTGACACGTCAGGAAAAAAAAAATAGAGGAGAGGAAAAGAAAGAAAACGACTTGTAACGATAAATCAAAAAAACAAAAACGGGAAATACCGCCGAAAAATAAAGTTTCTAAAAAATATAAATTGAAAACAAAAAAGACAACCCACGAACCAGTCGAACCCACAATCCAAAGAACCAGCCTTGTAATGGAGATTCTTCTTAATTAAAGTATTTTTTATTCTGGAAAAATTGGTATCACTCTTTTTAACCTATAATTATTAACTATTTTATTTTGAACACTGTTGTTTCTTAAGTATTTTTGTCCTGGATATGTTGATGTTACATTTTTATCTATAAGTTTTAACTATTCAAAATGTATTGCTGCTTCTCAATTCAATCATTTTTTGTACTGGAAACAATATCTCTTTTTTTCATCTACTAGTGTTAACTATTTTAAATATAATATTTATTTACAATTTAAATATTTGTTTGTTCTGGAAAAATTGATCTCACTTTTATTTATTAGTGTTAACTATTTTAAATAATATTATTACCTTCTCTACAAATAAATAGTTCTTTTAACGATCTATATCATTGTTTTAGTTTCCTTTCAGGATTTTTTATTGGTTCTTTTTTATTTATAATTATTAGCTCAATAGAAGCCAATCTGAGTATTCGATTACTCAGCGTCCCTAGGCACAACTGCCGTCCTTAGGTACAACCAGCTATGTCCCTAGGTACAACCCTATGTTGTACCTAGGGACAAAGTCAGACCTCATTATATTCACCGATGAAAAATTACACTCATTAACTTAAAAGCGTCCCTTGGAGAACCAGTTTCCCCTATGTTAGTTTAATTGTAATTTGAAAACATAAAAAATATTAACCGCTTTAAATACATATTTATTTTTAAACAAAAGTTTACACGGTTAGTTAGCAATTAGGTAAATCTGCGCCAGAGTAATCAATGCCTTTTTCAATGGATCCACCAATTCGACCTCCTTCCGTGTCTTCAGAGATAATTTTTGTCCAGCCAGTTTCTCCCTTAAATAATTAAATAATCAGATATTAGGACGTACCTCATCTTTCATTAAAAACTAAATTTTGAATTTTTGAGAAAAAAACTATTCAAATATTAAAAAAAATTTATTCTTTATAATGATAACATTCAAAACCTAATAAAGATGTTTTGAAAATAAAGGTCGAATTATAATTAACATTTTTAGTTAAACTAGTTTAGGTAATATTAATTAAAAATTTGTTGAGGTAAATTAGTAACAAAACATAAATATAGTTGGTGTTTAAAAAAAATTTAATATAAAACATTTTTCTTACTTTAAGATAACAAGCAAAATTTACGGTGTTCCATGTAAAATAAACGCAACCTGCAGTGTATTCACATATTTTTTGACAGTCATTGGAAGTATATGCTGGTGGACAGCATACGGTTAAGACTTCTCCAATCACCAGCAAGTTTAATATCAAAAAAAATGTATTCATTCTATAAACCATGAGTAAATAAAAAATGTATTCATTGTAAATATATATATATATATATATATATATATATATATATATATATATATATATATATATATATATATATATATATATATATATATTTTTATACAATAATTATTTTAAATTATACATAATAATTTTATATAAAATACAATATTTTATAAATATATTGATATTTATAAAAAAAACCTTATATGTTTTTGTAAACAAAAATATAAAAATATTCCGCAACCTAGAAGTTTTAGATTGATAAGTATCTATAGTAAAAGAAGCAAAAAAATGCTGCAGTGATAAAATAAAAGTATGCCATATTTTATATGTATTTTATCGTCAATTACATTTCAGTTAGCGCGCCACGTCGAGCCAACTAGAAACAATGTTGGAAGCATTTGGCCTATATTGTTTTGATGTTGGCACAATGTGGAGAGCTAGCTGGAATAAGCCAAGTTTAACGCATTTATAATGGATTTTATAATGGAGCTAATAAGGTAGGTTTTCAAATAGAGTACGTCAGCAAGTAATTGTTTAGTAAATTTATTGTCATTTGGGAATTATTAACTTTTCATGAAAAATTAACCTTCGTGATTAAAACAAAATATTATTTATCTAAAGAAAAAATAATTTACAAACTAGTTAACGATTCCTTAAATAATTATTTAAATAATTTATTTATAACTGTTTCTCAAATTAAAATTAACGCTGCTATTTCCGTTCTCCCTTCTTTTTAAATGTAGTTAAAGACAAAGCTAATTTAGATTTATACTTTGGAATCCATATAAAATTTTCAGTATATCAAAACTTGTGCATAAACTCTCTTCGTTTTAGGCATATTTGAAAATTTGTTTACAAATTAAACAAACAGTGGCAAATACAGGATTTTGTAAAAAATATCTATACTCCTTTATTTTATTAAAATTTTGACTCTAAATAGCTTTTTAAATGATAAACTATATTCTTTATTATTCTGCAAATTTTCAAAGTCGTTGTTATTATTTTAAATTTACAACTCTTAAAATAATTGCAAAAAATCATCATTATACATTACTACGTTGAAGGCGTTATTTTTAAACGTATGCAATCCCAAAGGTGTCATAAAACCATTTATGCATTTTGTTTTAAAGACCAACTTAAACAATTCGGAAAATATAAAGATTTTAAAATTAAAATAATGAGATATTCGCTTGCATAGTAAAGAAAAAGATTTTGAGGTAAAGAAAAAGATTTTAAGTTTTTATCAAAAAAATTTTTTTATATTATATGTAATTTTGTTATATTATACGGCGAAAAATAATGTTAAAAACAATAATACTAATAACACGAACAACTAATATAATGCAAACAATAGTCAAAATTTTAAGATTTTATAAATAGAGTTATGTAATATTTTAAATATAACATGCTACACTGTCATATAGTGTATGAAGCAGGATATTGTTTGGTTTCATAAAATACATTATCATATTGCTTCATAAAATACAAGAGCATTTTTCAAGTACTATTGTAATCGGGGCTGTCCTTAAGAGGGATGGAGGGTATTTATCACCTAGGAAAGTTTTATTCAAAAATTATTTGACAATTATTTGGACCCTGTAATCGACAAATTTTGACCTTTATTTGCCAGTCAACAAGGATCTATCTTTTTTTTATTTTTTCAGTTGTCAAAAAAGTAGATATCTCACCCAGGGCCGCCGAGAGCTGTCACGCTGCCTGAACCAGCAATCCTGACTAACGCCCTTATTTATCAAATTTGCCCTATATTATATATAAAGGACTTTTTTATTATTTTTTTTTTTTTAGGTACCTGTATTTCTTTTAGCGCCCCTTGGATATCTGCCGGCCGGGACAATCTGTCCCTCACGTCCTCCCCCTTCTCTCTTGGCGGCACTGATCTCACCCGCTCCTTTCCGTTTAAGATCTTTAAGAACGGCCATGATTGTAGTTTATTATAATGTGTTGGAATCTTTTGAAATATAATATATTGAAATATATTTTAGTAATATATTGAAATATAAATATATATTTTAGCTCAAAACCTATGATCAAAGTAAAACCTTTGCCCTTTGACTTTTTGACTTTTACCCTTTAAAATAATTAATGCGTCCCTATCTCACTCTACATATATTATCCGCCATTAATTTTGTTTTATTAAACGTCTTCTAAACATTCTAACGTAAAGAAAGTTTAAAAGACGTTTAAAAAACGTTTAAAAGACATTTAGAACGTAACTTTAAAAAACAAATGCCCGTAGGGTTACTTCAACATTTGCAACACTACAATTGTAAAAACTAGTATACTATAGTATAAGTAATTATAAAGTACAAAATTGTAAAATGTGTTTGTAATGTAATTTAATTTTATTATGAAAAGGGCCATCCATAAAGTACGTACGCAGGTATGGGGGAGGGGGTTTCCCAAAAGCGTACGAACACGTACAAGGGAAGGGGGGTGTTGAAGACAGTGAGTACGTACGCGGTTGACTATATTTCATAAACTTGATTTTATTTTTTTAAAACATTGAATTTCACGTGTGTAACAAATCAGAGTTGATTTTTTTTCTCTGACTTCAGTCACAATTTTTTTTTAATAATCTCTATAAACAATGAGAATAGAAAAAAAAAGTTAATTTAAATAAAAAATAATGCGTAAGTACGCGGAGGAGGGGGGGCCCTGCGAAAGCGTACAGGTTCGTACAAAGGGGGAGGGGGAGACCTAATTCAGTGGTTTTACTGCGTACGTACTTTATGGATCTCCCAAAGATTATTGTCATCTGAATATTAAACAGAAAAAATTATTTTTTTAAATCTTTTATTTAAAATTTAATTTTAACCTTAAAATTTGATTTTTAAGTACGCATCCATGCACTTGCTCTCTGCAAGTACATACAACTTTATATATAATAATCATGTACTTGCTCTCCTCAAGTAAATACAATATTATACATTTTGTTTTTGCATTATCAATTTATCATATAGTAAATTGAATGAAAAGGAAAAAAAAACAACTTTTTGCATGGTAATTTTTTGTGTGTATTTTCCTAAAATATTGATAGGTTTAAGCATAAAGTTTGCTGTTTAGTTGTTTTTTAACACATTAAAAATAGTAACAGAATGTTGTAAAATGTATGTGTATGTGTTTTACAAATCAAAAACTTGTATTAAAGTAAATTTTAGAATAATAATGATCTTATTTTAGAATTTATTGAGTTGTAAAAATATAATCAGACCATCAGTAACTAATGGTTATAATTTATTTATAATTTATACTGAAGAAAAATACTATGCATAAATAAAAAAAAAATGTACAATTTTTTTTTTATAGAATGAAGATTTCTATAGCTTTGTTTTTGCTAAATGCGATGTTATTTAAAAAAGTGTTTTCTTGTAATCCACCAGCAAATACTGCCAATGATTGCCTAAAAATTTGTGAACACACTATAGATTGTATTTATTTTACTTGGAATCAATTAAACCATTTTTGTTTCCTTAAGGTAATAAATAGTTTGTTTTTTTATATATTTTGGCATTACAAAACACAATTTTTATGACTTGTTTTATTTTATTATATTAAGTTTTAACTTACGAACTTTTTCCAAAATTTTTGTCGATATAATTCTAAGAACCATTCCATTTGGTCAATGCAGTTATAAAATATGTCATTAATGATGATGTCATTTGAGATCACTTGATTGGTGAATGAAAAGTGAACGACATGCAATACAAAAATAATTAAACATTTTTAAACAACAAAAAAAAAAAGATTTTTATGTTGCTGATTTTTTGTCTATTTTCTGTAAAAAAACATAAGATAACCAGTATATATATAAAAAAAAGAGTAAAATACTTACCTACATTTGATGCCATTTTTTAAGTAAAATAAACTCTGGCTTTACATATAATTTCAATATTATTCAATTTCATTTCAGTCTTTTTTAATTTTTAAGTGCTATACATATAAAACTTATAATTAGCTCTTAATTATTTATTCTTGCTTTTCACTAAATTAGTTTTCAATTAATTATTCTTGTTCTCCCGTGAATTATGCTACTTGTTTAAACCTAGTAAACTTTTTAATTTTTACTTTTTTAATCAACTATTTATTTCTCTGGTAAACAACTTCAATTAATTTTTTTTAGGGAGGTGTTGGTTGGAGAAAAATTCAAGTCGAAAACGCTGTAGGAGGTTATGTTGGAGGATCGATTGAAGCAGGGGTTGATTATAATGGAGGGGATTTACCAAACTGTATTTTCTAATTATTTTGTGATAAATTTATGGCTCATAAAAAATGTTGTGTTTATATATATATAATCATATTTACCTATTAAAATTCGATTACCCGACAAGAAAGGTTTATGTGTCCATAGTGCGATTAAAAGTGCAGAAATTCTAAAGTGTCCCCCCTCCCTAACTGAAACATGGGGGGGGGGAATGCACTTAGCCCTCCCCCTCCCCGTTTCCTCAACAATTTTAAATAAACTTTTATGATTGCAACAGCAGAATTATCATTTTCTAGTCTTTAATGACTCAATCGCAATTAAACATCACCATGGAAAAGTACATTCATAAAAATGTTTAAAATACTATCGCAGCTAACTATTTTTAAATTAAAATGTGCTAGCAAAAGATGACTAACCACATTAAAGAGATATTTAATCACATTGGGTGTGATAAATATATAAATAAATAGATAATTTTTATCTATTTTGCTGTATCATTTTTATCTGTATCATTTTTATCTGTATCATGTATCATTTTAACATAATTATCGCCCTATTTCAGTTCTTTCAGTCTTTTCAAAAATACTAGAAAAAATAATGTTCAATCGAATTTACGACCATCTAATTAATAATAAAATCTTATACAAAAACCAATTTGGTTTTAAAAAAAACAATTCAACAGAACACGCTATTCTCCAACTTACGCGCGACATCTCAGAATCTTTTAAAAAATCTCATTTCACATTAGGAGTATTTATTGACTAATCTAAAGCTTTTGATACCGTCAACCATCAAATTCTAATAAAAAAATAATAAAATCTTTTATTCCATATTATCATATGGAATAAAAGATAACACCCTCAATTGGTTAAAAAGCTATCTTACAAATGGTAAGCAATGTGTTTATAATAAAGAATCCTCGTCTCAACTGTAAATGAATATAACGTGTGGTGTTCCACAAGGCTCCATACTTGGACCTCTTCTCTTTATAATATATCTAAATGATCTTCATAAAACTTCAAGCCTAACAAAAATAATCTTTGCAGACGACACAAATTTATTTCTATCTCATGAAAATATTAATATTCTTTTCAACAACATGACAAATGAATTAAAAAAAGTTTCTGATTGGTTCAAAATAAATAGATTATCTCTCAACACAACTAAAACTAAATGGACACTTTTTTATCCACTCCATAAAAAACATAGAATACCTCATTTGTTACCCGAACTATATATTGACAATGTAATGATAAAAAGAGAAAAAGTAACAAAGTTTCTAGGAATCTATATTGATGAAAATTTAACTTGGAAACATCACATTAACATTATCTCTTCTAGAGTTTCCAAATGCATCGGTACTCTTTATAAAGCTAGAAACATACTAAATAAATGGCAGCTGACTCAACTGTACTATTCATTTGTTCACTGTCATATAAACTATGCAAATATTATATGGGGAAGCACTCAAAAAACAAAACTTAAAACTCTTTTTAATCATCAGAAACACGCAGCTTGCGCAATTATTTTTAAAAATCGTCTTACTCACTCTGCGCCACTTCTTAAAGATATGAAAGCTTTGAATGTTTATCAACTTAATATTTTTAATATTTTATGTTTTATGTTCAAGTGTAAAGAAAATTTATCTCCACAGGTATTTCAATATCTTTATTCTTTAAAACCGAAAAACAAATATAATTTACGAATTGACAACAATCTTAATGCTCCTTTTTGCAAAACTAAATACGACAAATTTTGTATGTCCTATCGTGGACCTCTTCTTTGGAACAAAATAGTTTTACCTAATTTTGACTTTTCAATCAAACTAAACTACTCCTCATTTAAAACCAAAATTAAAGAAATTATCTTTTCAATTGAAAACATCTTTATCTATTTTTGAGTTTTTATCAATTTATTGCTGATATATTATACTTTATTGTATTATGTTTTACTATTTACGAATATTTCCATGAGTTCTTTGCAAACTTATGTATTTAATGGTTTGTATTTTATTACTTTTTATTACTATGTTTTGTTAAACTTCATATTATCTTGTTATTTTACGAATTTTTATAACTTCATTATAATATTACGTATTTATATTATATTATACTCGATACTAAAATGCATTGTAAAGGGCTTCATGATAAGATCCTCATGATCTTTTAGAAGTCCTTCCACTAAATTTGTAATATGTTAAAATTTGTATTATTAAAAAAATTATTTGGCAAAAAAAAAAAAAAAAAAAAAATCCATTTTGCTGTAACGAAATTGAGGAATTTTTTCCTTTTTAACATATGTTTTCAGCCCCCCCCCCCATCTTTGACGACCTTCGTACTGCACTGTATATATATATATATATATATATATATATATATATATATATATATATATATATATATATATATATATATATATATATATATATATATATATATATAATATATATGCGGGAAAACAACTTTAAAATGACCAATAATATAAACAAAATTTTACAGTTTCTTTTTGAAGGAATTATAAAAACGTAAGCTTAAAAAAAACATCACTGCTCAGTTACATAACTCATCGGGTGGAGTATCCATCAAATACAGAACAAATGATGTTATTGGGTAACGAGGAGCAAAATGATACACCTAAGCACTAATTTATCTAATACGTCCAATAAATTTCGAAAAAAAAACTTGATATTTTTTAAATCTTTTACCATTCTTCTAAAACATTATGAAATATGAGTTGCAAAATTGTACTAGTTTGGTTATTAGAGATCGTTTATTGACAACACTTATTCTGTCTTATTTAGCCCCGCTATGTGGGGCAAAATGAGGCGGATTTTTTTATTAAGTAATTCAAATAAATAATGATAAACAAAACAGATTTTTAGGAGGTTTAGCAAGATAAACATTTTATAATACAGTATATATACAGCTAATAATAATGCATAGTATATAGTATGCATAGTAGCTAGTATATAGTATATATACAGCTAATAATAATACATAATATATAATCAAACAAATATAATACATAATCAAACTGTCTCTAGTCAATCATATAATCAAACACACTGTCACTAGTCATATATATCACATAATGCTTCACTTTAGTAATAATTATTCAAAAGACATTTAAAATACATTTAGAACGTAACTTTTAAAAACAAATGCCCGCTGAGTTGTCTTTAAATCGTGTTTATGGTTTAAATAGTAATTCTGTAAACATTTATTTCAATAATATAGCTATATTATTGAAATAAATGTTTACAGAATTACTATTTAAACCATAAACACGATTTAAAGACAACTCAGCTGGCATTTGTTTTTAAAAGTTACGTTCTAAATGTATTTTAAATGTCTTTTAAACGTCTTCTAAACATTCTTACGTAAAGAACGTTTAAAAAACGTTTAAAAGACATTTAGAACGTAGCCTTCGAAAACAAAGGCCGTAGGGAGGTTAAGGCCTTCTGATTGAAAGACCTGGATGTCACTTTAAAAATCCACTTACAAAATCTCTTCCTGTAACACCATTATATTTGTTAAATGGATGACTTATTTTGTACTTTTCAACATACTGGAAGACAATTCGTTGATTTTTCACTTATAGGGTCGGGTGGGGTAATCTGAGCCTGTTTTTACGTATTTCTGACTTTGAGTCAAAAAAAAGCAACGTTTAAGTATTGGCTTTCTGACAAAAGATGTCTTAAAATCATGATTGGGCATACTGCTGAACAAATTTAACAAAAAACTATTACTAAAAATACTATTAATAGGTCTAAGGAGCCTTTATTTGAAGATGCCTATATAGACCGCCATTATGCCACATAGTTAGGCAATGTGGGTCTACATAAAATGTTGGCAGTTCCGGTTGAAAATACTCCTGCTAATGAAAAATCTGACATACATTCTATATGCCAGCACCTTTATTATAGTATATATACAAAGTTTTAATTTAAAAAGTAGTCTTAAGATATTTTTATTTAAAAACAAAGCGCATACATATACAACAATAAAAACTAAAAACTCAAAGAAATAAAAATAAAAAAATGGTGATTAAAAACAGAAATAATAATGTTTTAATAATGTGTTTTATAAAAATAACTATTTTTTTGATCACTGCACTTTTCTGGTAACATTCGTGCTATTTTGGGCACTTCTTAGATCTTTTTGGGTATTTCTTTACTACTTCAGTAGAGGTAATAGTTTTTTTGTACATTTTTTTTTAACTTGGTTTTTTTCCTCTCTAATTTTTTGTTCCTCAAGTAACCTTTGTTTGATTTTCTCATTTGTAAAGAGTTATCCAAATTTTAGTTGTATTCTCTTCCTTTTTTGTTTTTGTTATTGTACTATTGCTACTGTTTCTGCAGATACATTAGGACATATGATTGACCTTAAAGCTTTTTGCAAAGCCAATCTTGGTTTTTAAAATCTTGAAGATTTAGGGCTATAACGTTCAGGTGATTGATTGAGAAAGTCAATACCTGTTATTCTTCTTTCCATCTTTTCTTTATTTAATGATGAGAAATCTGTAAAGCGAAACCCTGTTATAGTATTTGCTGGAGAGAGTCTCTGACACAGTTGTTTCAATAATCCTGTAAAAGCTGTCTTATCAATATTTTTGTGTTGTATTTCTCTTGAAAACCGCTTTAAAATTTTCTCCACAAATTTTTCAAAGTCTGAAGACAGCCACATCTAATGGTTGTAAAGCGTGCGAGAAATTTAGTGGAAGACAAACAATTTGTATATGGTTTTCCATGGCCGCTTTTATGGTACCATATGTTAAATGACTGTCATGACCATCATGAAGCAAGAGTATTGATTTTTGATCTTGGTCAACAAATGATATAAATTGCTCAACAAACCTAAACGTAGAATGTATTTACTTCTATTGAATCATTTGTACCATCTTCAAAAACAACAAAGGCAGCAACAAAAAAAGAAAAAGAAAAAGTTGGAGGAAAAAAAATGAAAATTATAAAATTCAAGTAAAATACCAATTTTCAAATAGAAAGTCTTGCATCCATCCACTTGCTGTTGCATTAAAAGCACATCCTGGTGGTCCATTTTCTATTCATT